AGAGATTGCTAAATATTTCCTTTGTTGCTGCATGAGGGTATATTAAACGGCATGTACTTATTACCTTTCGATACGAGCTGTGTAGCAGAACACAGCTGCAGGCGATTACAGATAATCATGCCAGAGTCTGACAGTAGAATGTCAGTGTCAAAATTAAATTTGGGAGCTGATTAAATAAGGGATGGCAACACTTTTGTTTTATAGATGGCAGTACTTCAGTCATTTTAGAGTCTTTGCTTTCAGACATGAAATTCTAACCCTTCCTACCATGTTTGCTGGGGATGGAAGGGTTCAGATGGGATTCTAGTCATTTCTCAGTTTGAACAATAAGGCCATGATGACTCTCCACTATGTCAGAGTGTGGCAAGAACAGAGAAATGATGTGGTTCCTTGATCCATGGCCTGCCGACCTCAGTGGAAGTGAGAGCAACAGGCAGCCTACTTTAATTTCCACCCCTGGCATAAGGGCCATAAAGGATGGTAAGCCAGCGGAGGATCGTGCATAGTGATGCTCTCTTTCCCCTCCCACCCATGATCTTGAAACACAAGATGAGTTTAAAGGCCCAGTCCTGCAAAGACTTATGCACATTCATAACTTCACTCCTAGGCTATGTCTACATTTGAGTTGGGAGGGGTGATTCCCAGCTTGCATAGAATGACCCACTAGCTAAGAATAGCAGTGTAGCTGGAGTGTAGCTGCTCCCCTGTGCTCCTGTAATTCACATACCTGGGTGTGATTCACTGTCCCATGAGGTGGTACTTAGACCACTTACAGTGAGAGAAAATGAGTTTGCTCTACAGCCTCAGCTGAGCGCTAGCTGACTTTTAGCTCAAGCTGTAGAGGCTCATGCACCGAGCTCCAGAGGTCCCAGGTTTGAGGCTACCTGTCGGCGTTACGCTACCCAGACTCTGTTGCTATTTTTAGTGTGCTAGCTCAAGCAGAGCTAGGGCAGGTATGTCTGCAGCAGATGGGAATCAGACCTCCCAGCACAACTGTAGACATAAGCATGGAGTAAAGTGGCTCACAGGTATAAAACTTTTCAGGATCTGGCCTAAAAGCGTCATGCTTCAAGGGCAGAGTCACATTGGGGGTTCCAGTCCTTTTCTTCCATAGGGCCATATTGTTCTTTTGTACATTACACATTATTAATTACTGATATTACCTTAGTGCCTAGAGATGGACCAGAACCCCCATTTTGCTAGGTGCTGTACAACCCCAGAAAAAAAAAGATGCTCCTTCTTCTGGAGAGCTTTCAACCCGAATAATAACTTGCAAATTCTGCTCCGTCACCTGGGGCAAATACACTGGTTTTGATGGGTGAATAAAATACTAGAAATTTGTTCATTCGCATAATGGCAAAGTGTAGAGACAGAGATCTTGAACCTGGGCTGATGTTTTTGCAGGAAAATTTGACACCGTGTTTGTATGCTGTGCCATAACAACATAAGAATGGCCATACTGGGTCAGATCAAAGGTCCATCTAGCCCAGTACCCTGTCTGCCGACAGTGGCCAATACCAGCTGCCCCAGAGGGAGTGAATGGAACAGGGAATCATCAAGTGATCCCTCCCCTGTCACTCATTCCCAGCTTCTGACAAACAGAGGCTAGGGACACCATAACTGCCCATCCTAGCCATTGATGGGTGTATCCTCCATGGAAGGATGTCATCATTTTGAGGGCAGAACTCCCATTAGAGTCAACAGGAATTTGTTGTGTGTGGAAGATCTGATTGCGGCATTTAGCCTTTAATAAGTCTTAAAGCAAAAGGCCCAAGTTCTCCAACCCCTTTGAAATTGATTAGAAGGAGAACTCGGCCCAATTTTAATTCTGAAATTGGAAGGGGTTTGAAACAAGTGTTGGGGTTTGGAAGGGGTTTGAACAGCACAAGTGTGTGGGTGGCATCACATTTAATTATGGCCAAACGGCTTTCATCACAATCCCATTGAACATGTCACTGTAGCACTATGGTTGGCATCTTCTGAGACATTCCTGCCACCCTAAATTAATTTACACGAAAGAAAAAATGAGCGGGAAGTATTGAGCCATGTTTGATATTGATTGCAACACTGTGGAGCTACAATAGGGCTATTATAATTGGGGAGCTCACATTTATCCACACTCTTATTTGCATGTTCAATAATAACAGGGGCTTTGCTCAATCTATGTGTACATGGCCATTCACCACATATTGTCTAGAGTGGTTCTATGTGCCTGGAGATCCAATGGCAGTAGACCAAGATCGTAGTCTAGGATCAGTGCAGTGAAGGGACATTACAACTACGCCTCTTTTCCTCCTTCCAGGGTCCCTTTTGGTTGCTATACTGGTAGGAGAGAGGGGCTGTACATCAAATCCACCCATGTAACTCTGTCCTGGGACAATCCTCATGCAACCACTTTAAAGAGAGATTCCATTGGGGTTATAGCACAAACAGCCCACAGCAAAGCTTCTGGCCTTAGCGTCAGAGGGATGGGCACTGCCAGTGTTGAGAGTGTTTCTAAGCTTTTCTTTCTTCCTGACCTCATGTTTATTTATGTCTTGACAAAGGCCTCGAGAGAGGTTTGACCAAGGCTTTAAAGAAGCTGGACAACTACCTGAACACGCCTCTGCCTGAAGAGATCGATGCAAACAGCACTGAAGAGGAGAAAGTCTCTAAACGCAAGTTTCTGGATGGGGATGAGCTGACACTTGCGGATTGCAACCTGCTGCCCAAACTTCATGTTGTTAAGGTAAAAGGCCACATCTGATGGACAAGCAACTCTGGGTTGAGAATACAGTGCCCAGATCAGTAAACCTGAGTTGTCACAGCCATGCTGCTGCTCTATCTGCCAGTCTCTGCTTTTCTATAGGAAAGAGACTGGTCTATACACAGGGGCTACGTATAGACTGGCATGATTTTCCGCAAATGCTATTAACGGAAAAGTTTTCCGTAAAAGCATATTCGGAACAGAGCATCTAGATTGGCAAGGACGCTTTTCCGCAAAAGCACTTTTTGCGGAAAAGCGTCCATGCCAATCTAGATGCACTTTTCCGCAAAAAAGCCCCGATCGCCATTTTCGCCATTGGGCCTTTTTTGCGGAAAACAAATCTGGGCTGTCTATACTGGCCCTTTTGCACAAAAGTTTTGCGCAAAAGGACTTTTGCCCGAACGGGAGCAGCATAGTATTTCCGCAAGAACACTGACGATCTTACATGAGATTGTCAGTGCTTTTGCGGAAATTCAAGCGGCCAGTGTAGACAGCTGGCAAGTTTTTCCAGAAAAGTGGCTGATTTTCCGGAAAAACTGGCCAGTCCAGACACAGCCAGTGGCTGTGTCTACACTGGCGTGATCTTGTGCAAAAGTGGCCGCTCTTGTGCAAAAACTTGCTGCCTGTCTACACTGGCTGCGTGTTCTTGCGCAAGTAAACTGACGTTCTAATGTATGAAATCAGGGCTTCTTGCACCAGAACTCTGATGCTCCCGCTCAGGAATAAGCCCTTTTATGCAACTGTTCTTGGACAAGAGGCCAGTGTAGACAGGCAACATGAATTTCTTGCGCAAAAAAGCCCTATGGTTAAAATGGCCATCAGAGCTTTCTTGCGCAAGAGAGCATCTACACTGGCATGGATGCTCTTGCGCAAAAGCACATCTCTTGTGCAAAGGCACATGCCAGTGTAGACGCTCTCTTCTGGAAGAGTTTTTGAACAAGAACTTTTCTGCAAAAGAGTTCTTGCTCAAGAAGCTGCCAGTGTAGGCGTAGCCAAGTAAGTTTCCAAGATCTTGGCCAAAAGGGCAAAGAAAATGAAACAAGGTCTAAAGAGAGGTGATAGAGTGAGCATTAGGGAACCCCACTAATCTCCAGTGCATCATGAGATGGGAAGAATAGGCTGGTGTATTGCATGGTCTTGCCTAGTGTGACCAGGCCAGAGGGCTGCTACAGAGTAAGGAAAAATCAGCCCCAGAAGGGTAAAAGGCCTGCTAATTAGAGGGGGATGGTCACAGCACAATTAGGAACAGCTGGAAGGGAGCTGACTTGGGCAGATTGGGGCCAGCTGACTCTACTTCAGACCTGCCAGAGGCCTTTAAAAGCCTCCCCAGTTAGAAAGTGGTGGGAAGAGAGTCAGGAAGACTGAGGTAAAGAACCAGAAGTTAGGGTGCTTGTGATATCAGGGGAAGGGAGTTCTAGAAGAAGTAGCTAGGTTCCCTACCTGAGCAGCTAGCTGCAAGCCTGATCTCTGGCAAAGGGGAACAGGCTGCTGGCCCAAACACTGGCCATGGAAAGAGGGGCCCATGCCACATTAGCTAGCCAGAGACTCCATTTTTCACTAGTCTGGGTCAACAAGCACTGGGTGTTTGGCTCTGTGTGAGGCGTGTCACAGCAATGAATATACAAAGTAGGGGAAGGGCTAGGGTTACGAATGAAGGACCTAGTGACTGGGGAAAGAGAAAGGGCTTGAGGCTTCTATAGAAACAACTTTCTTCTTTGCCTAGTGTCTGGGTTTGCAGGGAGAAAAGAGTAGAAACTCGTGCTGCCTGGACCTTTTGGGAACACACCAGTGTGTCTCTCAGCTTGTACTGCACAGGCCAGTTGGCTTTTAATTTGGATGATTTACAAATGTGTCTTTAATCTGTGGTGTTTGTGGTGCTCTGGTGCTATGTTTCCTTTTTCTTTCTTTGAGTTGGTAGTGGAACACACCTGGCTCTCTGAACTAAACCACACCTCTCCTTGGACTGCTAGTTTATTAGCACCCCTATCACCCTCATGCTGCACTCCCAGCTGCCACCTCCCCCCCACCATGTTGGCTTTATAAAATAGGGCTGTATAAGCTTGTGGTGTCCCTTAATCAGAAGTGTATCTTTAAAGCTAGCCACCGCAACAGCTGCCAACCCTTGACATCCAGATTTGTTCTTCCTGCCAGATTATTTTTATAAAGGAGTTTTGTTTTATGCTGACTGCTGGGGGTATTTCCATCATCAGGCAGCACCACGTACGTGTGAAAATAATGCTTAATACTTCGGGTATGTCTGCACTACAACTCAACACCTGCAGCTGGCCTTTGTGGGGCTCAGGCTAAGGGGCTGTTTGGCTGAGGTGGAGCCTGCACTCTAGAACGCAGGGAGCTGGTAGGGTCACAGAGCTTGGGATCCAGCTTAGCCTGTACGTTTACACCACAACTAAACAGCCCTGCAAGCCTGAGTCAGCCGGCATGGGCCAGCAGTGGGTATCTAATTATAGTGTAGACATACTTTTAATGGAGGGGGTGATAGACTTGCCAAGCCCCAGGACAAGTAGGGGCAGCTCTACACTCCTGGAAGGGGCAGGGCTGGGGCAGCCAGCCCTCAGTGCTGCCTGGAGCATACCACGCTGTACCCCCCGGCTTCCAAGGCAGCCCTCCGAGTTACAAAGTGCGCAGCGGTTTAAAGAGCTTGGGGCCCAGTGGTTGGGAGCCCCTGGTCCCTTTGAATTGCCAGGCCCCAGGACTGTTCCCCCCTCTTTGTCCCCCTCCCTCTCTGTCCCTGGGCCTGCTCTTAATGCTTTCTTCATAGATCATAAAGCAACATAAGTGTGCTAAGTGTCCCTTGCCTCATTTTATATGGATGGGGAAACAGAAACAGAGCTTAAAGTGACTTGTCCAATGTCACACAGCGAGTCAGTGGCAGACCTATGATTGGAACCCTGGGTCACCTAACTCTCCATTTTTACCCTCTACTGCCATTCCCACCCACGTATAACCTACAAAGGGTGATGCAGCTGGTATTTTGCATAGTAAAGTTAAAAGATGAAAGCTAGCTTGTGATTCAGAAGCAGAATTGTCTCTGGTATAGTGCAGAGGATGTACCTAATTCTCTCTCCTAAGTGCTATATTTATTCAGTTGATCAGATTACATGTTTCTTCAGAATAAAAAACAGTACCTGGTAGACATTGGCAAGCCAGGAACTAGAAAGTGGAGCCAAGTCATGCATCTATCTTGGCTCCATGAGTCAAAACATAAGCTAAGCCACGGTGAGCTGACTGTACACATATAAAAAGAGAATACAGAATGTGATGCATAAGTCACTTACACAGGTCATGTGATAGTATTACTGATTTGGCACTTTCTTTGGCTCATCTTCTCTCCTGGAGGCAGAGCCAGACATTTTAACACAAGTGCTTAAAGCTCTCATTGCTAGTTCCCGTCTCCTTAAGGCAAAGTGAAAGACAGACAAACAGCTCCTGTAGAATTCTAAATCTTATAGCCATGCATAGCTACAGACTATTGTCCTCGGTCTGTTTTAAAGACACAAGTAAAAGGCATGTAAACACTTCCGCTGGAAATGTTGTTAATTTCCGCCTGCACTAATGAGTAGGTTCCATCCCCTATGTTCACACACGGGGTTGCATAGATGCAACTTGGAAATGGATTTTTCTTAAAGTATGCCAAAGGAATCCTGGTAATAAGAATAAACCATAATCTCTTGTAAGAACAGACCTGTCCTGAAAAATCTAGATGGATGGAAATTCTAATAAGTACTTTAGGAAACAGAGGGGAGCTGTGCGGTACATATGGATGTAATTCCCTTTATGCTCATGAGTAACTTTACACTGTCATAAAAACTAGAGATGGGAAAGACCCAATAAATTAGCTAATCCTGCCCTCCCAATCTTTTTGCCCACTCTGTCACTGTGGGATTGTTACATACAGTGTAAGATTAAATTCATTGCCTAATCAGGATGAAAGACCCCAGTCTAGCAAGGCACTTAAGCATGTATCTAACCTGAAGCACAAGAATTAGACCCAATGATTATATACATATTAAAAGTTAAGGCATGTGCTTAAGTACCTTGCTGAATCAAGGCCTGGATGTCATTAATGGTTGGGCTTCCACAGAGATCTTGAGTCTAATAAATCTCAGAGATAGGAAACTTCCTAGTATGGAGCTGTATTTTCCCTCTTCACACTAACACTCCTAGTTCTATGAGCCGAAGATAATACTTTGTTCTTAGTATCCAAGTGGTGCCCAATACCAGTCTAAATAGTTCTTTCTCCTTCTTGCTGTGTACAATATATCTTTCCAGTGTTTGTCGATGGTTATCTCCATGGTGATGATTGTTTGACAAAGCGGTACAAGTTTATTTCTTTTTTGTTGTGTGTTCCTCCATTCATGCCCTTTAAACCACCCACCTTTTTAAAGTGTCACCTGACCAGGCTTCTTCCCTGATAATGCCATTCCAGGAGCACAGCTGAGAGAGGTGATGTTCACAGGAATGAGGGGGAAATCCATGGTGGAGCCTGTTTGAGTCTTTGTATACAGTGCTTGGTATTCCAAAGTCAGGATTTGACACACCGTGGTATTACACTTCCTTTACTGCTTGTCTGCACGAACACTTAGTTTACAGCAAGTTGGGCTGTAAATCTCCTCCGCACTGGCCTGCTGTGCACTGAATGTCCATGTGCAGTCTGGTGCCAAATACTAAAAGTTCCCTAGTGCACTTTAATTTACTCCCCTTTCAAAACGGGGAAGATCAACACACATTTTGAGTGCATGGCCGCCTGGGCCACCTGGATGCTTAGTATGCAGGAGGCAAGTTTGGGAAAGAATTATGCCCCACTTGCTGCAAACCAAGCCTTTATGTAGACAAGCCCTTAGAGGAGGTGGTGCATTTGCATAGTAATGGCCAGTCAGGAAAGATTGACCTTTCTTTGATAGCTTCTCCTATAGGACCCTGCCCCCTTTCACTCCCTTGTCTGTTGTGTAACAAAAAGAATGAAGCTCAAATGCCTAAAACAAGCAAGTTTCCTTTTTTGTCTTTGTCCTAGATTGTCGCTAAGAAATACCACAACTATGAGTTCCCCACAGAGATGACGGGGCTGTGGCGATACCTGAAGAATGCCTATGCCAGGGATGAATTCACCAACACCTGTGCGGCGGACAAAGAAATTGAGCAAGCCTATGCAGACGTGGCCAAGCGGCTCAGCAAGCCTTAACTGACACCCGCAAGGGCTTAGTATCTCCGGGGGTTCCCAGTTCACAGACTCCTCTCCTTGTTGCCTTAGGATATATTCCTCATGATGTTTCTGGTTGGCATCCCCACAATTTCAGCTGTTAAAATACATTGGTTAGGGCCAGATCTGCCTCTCCCTAGGGAAAACATCAGGCAACAGTGGGGGGAGGGAAAGGAGGCTAAACAATCCTCTGGAATCTGAACCCATGAGCTGGATCAAGTATTATTATTAACGATCATCAGTATTTGAAACTCTTCACCTTTTTTCTGCAATATCAGCCACCTATTTTATCCGGAACTTTGAAAAACAAGCTATTTAGCTGAAAATTTCAAGTAGATGGGCTAGGAATATACTGAACTGGTTCTTCTTTGGCCCTTTTCAAGGACCCTTTTTTCTGATGTGATCTATCCAAAATATCTCTGCTGGTGAGAGCCTGGAGGTAGGAACAGGGTGTGTATGAAAGCAAAAAGTTTAACCAGAAGAGAAAAAATTTCCTTAGTGGGTCTCTTCAACAGCATCTGTTTTACCCGGGCTGGAGGTGGTTATTAAATGCTCATGACTGATGTGGCGCTAGTGAGGAAAGCATCAGTGAATATGTCAGACAGGCAGATGCTGCTTGGCATATGATTTGCTTATTTCCACTTCATCCAAAATCATAAAAGGAAAAGAGAGAGAGAGAATAACAATGAGAGATGAATTGGGAAGTTCTTGGAACAGCAGTGCTGATACCCCAAAGCCCACTCAATCAGTTGTTGGACGTACTGAGATTCTATAGTGATTGGGGCCATATAATTACCCCGTTATGTAGAAAGAATCCGCTAACTGCACCATTTTAGATACTCACCTTAATTCTGTACTTTCCAGCTCGTTTCCAGATTGGGAGCCAGGGGTAGGAGTGGAAATCGGTTGCCTTGTGTGACCCCAGATGGGGGCAGAAATACCCACTTGATTTCTGAGCTCGAAATGGGTCGCCTTCCAAAGTTCATCTCCCATTCTAGTGAGCAGGCTGGTCTGAAAGCCTTAAGGAGGATGGGCTAGAAGGGAGACTTGAAGCACTCCTAGCCAGAATGTTGGCATGTACGCTAGCACGAACCCTTGCCGGGTGGCTGTGTCCTGCTTGCTCCCTGCTTCTGTTTCAATGACCCTCCTAATGGTGCATTCGAACTGTTTTCCGACATGATTAGTTTGTGCTGTGGGCAGACTTTGTATACACAGGTCTGCTTCAAATTGATCTTCTGATTGGTGAACTGCTTTAAGAAATTAAGAATGACAGTTCTTTTGTGTGCAACGTAAAAGCTTGAGCTCACTTAGCGAGCTATAGACCAGGGAGAGGAAATCTCCCAGTCTAGTCAAATGTTGAGATTTAAAGCTTCACTTGCTGGCAAAAAGGTAAAATCATTGAACTCTATCACTCCTGGGCTTCACTCCTAATCAGACTCCTGCTGCTGTATGGAAATACAGTGACCTCCACAGGACTCCACGCTGGCAAACCCTTAAATAGGGGAACCCAGGATCAACCCTTTGTTTGCAATTAGAAATGGCCTGGAGACAGGCTATTAGGCCAGAATCTGCAGTCATACTGATGGTAGATCTAGGGTATGTCTACACAGCAGCATTATTTTGGAATAACTAACATTATTCCGAAATAACATAGTGTGCATCTACACTACAACCCTTTATTTCGAAATAATGTCAAGCTGGAGGACTTCTTACTCCGACTCCTATAACCCTCATTTCCCGAGGAGTAAGGGAAGTCACAGGAAGAGTGCCTTTTTTCGACTTCCTGCTGTGTAGACAGCACCAAAAGCCAAATTAAGCTATTTCAACTTCAGCTATGCAATTGACGTGGCTCAAGTTGAGTAGCTTAATTCAACTTTAGCTCTATTGAGTAGACATACCCCTAGAGTAATCCCATTGATGTTGAAGGAGTTACTCTGCATTTACATCAGCAGAGCAGATAACACAATCTTGTCCCTTGACTGATAACATTTATGGCTGGTGATAGTATTGCAGAGCAGTCAATTTGTTGTGAACTTTCCAAAACCTTGGAAGAAAGACCATGAACTCCCTAGTCTTCCCTCAGAACAGGCTATATTTAAACAAGCAAAGGATTATACACTCGGCAGTATTGCTGAGAAATCAACTGGCTCTGCGAGCACTAGCAACAGCCAGCAAAATCTAATGAGATTGGAAGAGTCCTCACATGCGGCTCATTAAAAATGTTTCTTCATAAAATAACCAGATTGGAATTATTTGTTGTTGTTTTTTTAAATTAAGATATTTAATTATTTATTTCAATTGATTAAATTCATTTTTCTTTCTTTCTTCTTAGCATATTGGTTGAGCTGACTCATTCTGTAAGACTATTATAACCAAGGCTCTGCAAATTTAGTGTGTAATGAACAATGGTTTTCTGTGTCTGTTTAATGGCTGTTTTGGATTTTTTTTCCACTATGGCTTGGCTACCAGAACTCCATTTGGCCAAGACTGAACTTTTCTCAATCATCATGGAACAGGTATTATTTTTTAATCAGAGGCTTTGTCTAATCAGAGTTATATGTGAACTGTGAATAAAGAAGTAGAAAGAGGATGTAGCCTGCTGTTCTATTCATATTTCACTTGGCTCCTTTAAGAAGTTTACACAGACAGTGGTTCTGAGGCAGGGGGAGGTGAACCAGTTCAGGAGATACACCCATTTCTGCTTTCCTGTGTGAAAATCCCCAAACCACAATTTGTTTTGGTTTCAGCAATTAAAAGACTAAATTTTATATGCTTAGTGAGTTTGATTCGGTTTTTCAACATTAAAATGAAAAATTTAAATAGGTTAAAATTGGAAAAATGTTTTCATCAACATTTTTCACACAGATTTTTTTTTTTAATCTTCTGATTAGTTAAATGTCAAACTTTTCAGGAGATTCAAATCTGGATCTGGATCGGATCTGAATTTTGCACTTCATACCTAACCCAGTAAGAGTTGATCCAAAACTCTGGATCCATACCCTCCTGAACTTTGCATGAGTTTGAAATTCAAATCCTCATTTTCAAGTCTGTAATTTGTGTACACCTTTGTGCTTCTTGGCTCAAAATACGGTGAGTAAAAAGAAGGAATGGAAATCCATACAGAAGATTGTGCTGCTAAGATTTCCAGCTCCCTCCTCTAGACCCAGAAGATTTAGATAAGCTTATTTTTACTATCACCAGTGAGATTTTAAAAAGCTCCAGAACTCCTCTACTTATGGCATTTTTGTGGCCTTCCATTGTATTTAGAAGTTTAAGTAGTTATGTGTTAATCCTGCAGGAGATTGTTTATCTACATTGGCAAAGTAACATTTTTTGAAAAGAATCTAAGTGACAAGACAGACAGAACAGATTTACAATAACTTTGTTCATAAATTTCTTGCAAGATGTAAAGAGAGACATGGTGCATAAGGGGAAGAAGCCAACAATATGGATTTAATCATCTACATTTCAGAAATGCAGACCAAATGTCTGTAAAGATGTCCATTTCATCCAACATTTCTTAGGTATTTGTTTCAAAGATATTAGTTCACTCAGTCCAATGCACCATTCATATTTGGAACCATGTTGATTCCTCTTTAATATTAATTTTGGGGCTGCTAGGAGAACTCAGTCAGTAAGTTTCTTATTTTCTGTTAAGATATTTGAGTTGCCAATAAGCCATCTTAGCAGTAAAGGTCAGAAGATAACAGCCAGGTCTACACTCAACCTGGCAGCTCAGCTTAAGGTTTGAAACTCAAACTTGGCACCATCCCCACAGTGGGAGGCTGATGGAAACAAATGCTCCTGTCACCTTCCCTTAGTCCTCACAAAAGGTGGAGTACCAGACACCGGCTGGGGCACCCTCTGAGTTTGATTTGGCAAGTCTTAACTAGACTCACTAAATCGAACTCTGGAAGATTGGTTGCAGCAGTAGCGATCTTCCTTTTAGTGTAGACAAGGCCTAAGAAAGTATCTGTTTCTAGGACACTTAACTTGAAGAAAAGAAATCTTCAGAGGATGTTGCTTTTGCAGAATAATGTACTTCAAAGCTCTATTTTGTTGCATATATGGCTACTGGATATCAGTCATGCCCCATGTTTGGATCAGCTTAAAGGTTAACTGGCAGGGAGAATGATATGCACAAATTAGAAGGAAGTTAGCCAAAGGGACTGATGCAAAGAAAGCTCCTTTTTTGATATGGCAAGATGAGAGGTGGCCATGCACTTTGTGGTAACTGTTCTGCTGAGCCACTTTTTAATCTTTTACACTCTTTGCTCCTCATATATTCCTGTCTCCATCTAGCTCTCCTTTATTTTCCATGCTTCTTAACAAAAACATGAAAGAAATAGGGACATACGCCTAGATCTCCAATGGTATGTAGGGCCCTCACTTCCATCACTGAAATCAATGGAAGTTAAGGAGACTAAATACTTTTGAGGTTCTGGATCATACGCACTAGAGAAACAAAAGACCTGGCCCCTCAACCTCAGTTTGGTCAGGACTTCTCTGCCCTTCCCATATTGCTAGGTTGGAGGTAGACCCCAGCTATATGGAAGAGAGGTTGGGGAGGTTACAGTATGGAAAAGAGGGTAAGGAAAATCTTGAGTGTCTAGATGTTAGAGCGTCCTCTCCATCTTCCGTGTCCTGGTATAGGACATGCCGTCTTTTAAAGTGATAGGACTCACTGGTCCAAAGGCTGGTTATTGCAGTTCTGCCTCTCTTAACCCACATCACCCCAAAATTGCAGTGAAAGCCAGAGGCAAGCAGTGGATGTTAGTAATGTCCCCTGCTTTATTGGATTATTGAAAAATTACATAGCATAAACCCCACATTGACAGAGTGATTTTACAGTCCTGTTACTCCCCAGCAGCTGATAAAACACATAACTTTTTTAAAAAACGAGTGGAACATTTGAAGAAAAGAAAATAAATTCCCCATTCTCTTTTATAGATGTATTTTTTAGGCATGGTGAAGTTTGAACTTGTTTATTATTCCTCTCCATATAATAATCCCTCCTGATACATTTTTATAGAAGAATTTGTTTTCTAGCAGGTCTTCTCCCTTTGCTGCATCTTTTCTGTCTTCATTAATGCTCACATCTGTGTTGATCTAATGGTGCCAGAAGAGACAGGAAACGATTAGACTTGTAGAGTAGCTGACAAAGCTAATTAATTTTTGGAAAAAATTAGTATTAAAGCCTTATTTTAAAATCCATATGTATTTCTCTTTATATGGTAGCCTAGAGACATTATAACCACAAGGACTCTATTCTATGGGCTACTTTGTGCCATTACACACAGCACTGAGCAAGGCGCACATATTCATCCTCATAGTAGCACCAGGAGGCACTGTGATCCCTCTGAGCCACAGTGATTCCTCTGTGTCCTTGCTCCAATAGGCTAGTAATTGACGAATGGCCTAGACCAGTAGCAAATTATAGCACACCACCTGTGCTACAGTGGCCACTTTTCGTCACATACGTGCAATGTGTCTCAGGTAGCATGTGACTAGGGTTCATCACCGCATTTGGTCTGCTGGTTGGATCATTAGCTTCCCCAAGGAGGGCACTGAAAAGCAGTGCAATCTGAATACTGATCCATGCCCCTGAGAGGACGGAAAAAGGTGGAACCAAGCCCCGGCTCATTCCCTGTCTCTTACCTCCTCTACAAAAATCTGAGATGTATCGGAGATTTTTTTAAATATGCAGAAAGTATTGTATGAACTCAATCGTATTTCTGAGACTTGGGATTTCATGCAGTCAGGCAACATGACAGGGCCAAAATCACACCCTGCCTCACTTAGTGCAGAGCTTTTTAAACTTTTAACCACTGAAGACAATGATACATTTTGGAGCCTCATCACCTCGGGACTATGATACTGTCATCATAATTCAGCACGTTGTGCCACCATATTATGTGATGTCTGATGGGGTGGCCGGACTCTTCTGTGAAGTGTCTTCTCAAGGATGACTCCATTAGCTATGCTCCTGATCAAGAGAGAGAGAGAAAGAAGGAGACAGAGATTCCAATGCCACTGTTCTTAAGCCAAATTCTCTAGCCATAGACTTCAGTGTGTGTGGCTTCTAGGACTAGACCATCACAACAGAGAATTATCCAGCAAAGAATTTAAGCACATTTTCTGCTTTAATCCTGTGAATAAGGCCTACTCCTGTATTTCAGTGCTTGGCTAGATTAGGGACACTTAACGATAGAAAAGTCCATACACTCTTCCTTTGACGTCCAATGGGCAGAATTCTTCAGAGCTGTTGCTGCAAATCCTCAGAAGTATTTAGGAGCCAAACTCCCATCTGGGCCTTCATCTTTAGAGAATAATGAAAATTTGAGCCAAACAGAAACAGCAGTGGTAGATGGCTTTCAGTAAAGTGATAAGCAAAACAAAGGGCCAAATTCTGGTTTCAATATAAGTGGAGAAACTCAATGACTCCTTTAGAAATTATTCTGCATTTCTACCAGAGAAAGTTAGAGCAGAGTTTGGACCAGGCTATGTTGATATCATTGCCTACGATGTAATGGGGTCATGGTCTAGAGGACCACACACTTTTTGATGTGTCCAACAGTATAATCAAGCCCTCATTATGTCTGGCTCATTCTTGTTATGAAGCAGCTTGTTTAAAAGAAAAGTAGGCAGGGTGTGGTTTTTGGTGGGGGAGAGGCAATCCAACCATGCTTTGTGGTTCTTCACATTGGGACTGTCAATTAGCACCTCAGGGTGGAAGCTGTTGACAGAATGCTGTCTGCCATTAAAACAGTAAAGTAGCAAAGTTTGGGGGTTGCAGGGAAAGGGTACTACAAGGCCCCCTAAAAGCAGTTCATTCGGTAGGATGCTAGCACCTGTGAATATCCTTCAACTCCCAAAGACACATTTGAGTTGAAAATAGATTGTTTTAACCTACATAGTGCATTGCTAATGGATGGTTTTTGTTGCTTCTGAACCATCCTTGTAGAATCACAGATTGTAAAGAAGTTTCAGAGAGGTAGCCATGTTAGTGTGTAACTTTAAAAACAATGAGTAGTCCTGCAGCACCTTAGTGAGTGTGTGTGTGTGTGTATTGCTAGCTTCTAAGGGTATGTCTAGACTACAGGGTTTTGTCGACAGAAGTTTTGTCGACAAAGCTTCTGTCGACAAAGAGCGTCTAGACTACAGCCAGTTCTGTTGACAAAGCAAGTCGCTTTGTCGACATAACAGTGTGGACGCAAAGGACAGTGTAGATGCAATAATGCCTTCTATCAACAGAACTCTGTCGACAAAAGGCGTTATTCCTCGTAGAATGAGGTTTACATACGTCGACAAAACTGCTGAGTTTTGTCGACGTTATGTCGACATAACTCAAAGGCAGTGTGGACGCAGGTATAGTTTTGTCGACAAAAGTCCACTTTTGTCGACAAAACCCTGTAGTCTAGACACACCCTAACAGCGCTCTCTCTCTATATATATAGATATCTATAAACTTTTTTGGTGCTGCATTGCACTGTTGTTTGGAAACAAATAATAATTAAACAACAGTTACACATAGCCCCCGCCAGCAGCCAGTGCTCCTGCTCTGGTGAGGAGTAAGGGAAATTGATGG